AACAAAAAGTTAATTATATCTAGCAAAAAAACCTGACTCCCTAAATTAAAATTTCTAAGCAGTGAGACAAAAATAAAATGACTTTTGATAACGGCCCTTGCTCTCGCACTCTTTGTAATACAAATAAAAGTTAGCCTACTGGCAGTATTTCTTTTCGTTCATAGCATTTATATTACGCTTTTATTATTACATATTATTACTGATATCATTCACTTCAATGTACAATAAAAAGTGCTTACCTGAAAATGTAGCACAGACGATGTATTCGGTGAACAGAAGTAAAAAATGGTCGCGAAAATCCTTAAGACAAATGCTATGCAGACAACAAACTCTTTCGTCAGTGTCTCTTGATAATACTAGATACGGTAGAATGTGTATCCATTCACCACAGAATATAGTTCAATGATTTCGAAGTACCACATCAATAAAAACACGCTAAAAACTGTTAATATTTCTAATAAAAAAGAAATAACGAAAATTTCCAGCTATTAGCATAAAAGAATCATTTACAGTAAGACCCCGCTTAACGCTGTTTCGGTTTAGCGCTCTTTTATTTCAACCCGGGGATTCCACGAAATCGCTCGCAGCATACGGGGATTCCCCGAAATATTATGCAGCGATAGGTTTCAAATACATATCCGAAAGAGTGTACTTGTATTTCTTGTTTGGTGCGGTATTGTACAGACATATTTTGAAGGGGTAAATGTGGAAGATGTCGAAGAAATAATTCAAGAAGAAGCAGCGGTTAGTCTTTCTAATGATGAGCTCAAGGAATTAACTGAACAAGAAGAAAACAAAAATGTTGACAGCAGCGATTCAGAAGAAGAGCAAAAAGAACTTTCGATGGCGTTTGTAAAAAGGAGTTTGTCTACCATAACTGAAATAATGGATCAATTCATTGGAAATGATCCGAATTTTGACAGGAGCTCAAAAGTAAGGCGTGGTGTTAGAGATGCTCTATCCGTTTATGAAGAACTTTTAAGAGAACAACGCAAAAGAAAAAGGCAAACAACATTAGATGCTTTTGTCACAAAAAGGCAGAACACTGAAAACGCGGAAGGCTAACTAAATATGACTGACTTAGAATTTTATTTTATTTTTTATTTTTATTTATTTATTTTTTTTTTTTAAAGAATATTCGTTTTGTTATTTAATTTTTTTTTTATTTATTTTTGCAAGAAATAATAATGTGGTATTAATTTGGGCTTTAAGAAATAAATGTTTGGTTTTATTTTTATTAAAAAAACATAATTTTTAAATTTAATATCTAACCAATTTCCTAGCCATCTTCCCCTAACCCCAATATTTACATGTAAAGATAGCCTCGTTTAGCGCTGTTTCGCATTACGCTCTACTTTGATGGAACGTATCCCCCGCGTTAAGCGGCGTCTTACTGTATTTAGAAAGTTTACTGAAACACACAGCAATGAATCGGGCGGAGGGAGGTCAGCGCGCAGGAATACCTCCCATTAAAGAATTACGTGTGCAAGGTCAAAAAAGATCAGGGCGGGGAAGACTGCGAATTTCTTGTCGTCACATTAAACGTTTGCTGCGACGTGTATGTGACATCCGTACAACATTCACATCCACATCCACATCACAATGCGACATTTCTGCGACGTTATACCGTGGTCACAAATATGAAGAAAATGCAACATTGATAGGTCTCTGCAACGTCATAGCAACTAAGTGTGATGTATGGGAGGTTCTATTGCCGTGTTTAAACTTTGCTTCAGGAAATTACCAGCGATATATTGGTAATGACGATCATGCAGCCAGTCCGTTCGCGAGATTCCAACCTCGGACTGAACTACCATTGTTCAGCGATTTTATCGCTCGGCCGCTAGTGGAATTGATTAATAAAGGGTTTAAATAAGAATATGTACCTCACGTGAAACCATAAATTCTGAAGTTAAATTGCAATTTATCAGTATAGAAATAAGTATCATAAATATTTATTTGCATTACATTTAATTATAAGTAATGATTATTTAAAAGTTTTTGTGATATTCTGTAATAACAAGAACCTTCCCTGAAGAATTATGATTATGTGAATTCTCAAACAAAAAGACTTTTGGACTGAAATGCTGAAAAATTCAATAGGACTCTAAAAATTAAAAATTTATTTAAAAAACATTAATATTTATAAATTATACTTTACAGGACAAAAATTTTATAATTTATTTTTTTTTTCATTTGCTAGTGCTTTAACTCTTTCTCTTTAAAAAGGCTTCTCTGTCGCTACGCCTTTTTCTTTTTGAAGGGGGGGATATGTAAGATAAAAATGTATGAATCAGAATAACTAAAAACATTAATTCTTCCTCTCTATTCTAAAATCGTAATAACTTACTTGACTGCATTGCGTCATTCAAATTAATCATGCGATCTTACGTAACCGTTAATACCAGATGCCTCTTAACAACCAATCACCGAATTGTAAACCAAAACTTTTCTCTTTGCGTGCTTCCATCTTTCATAACTAAGGACTTCAGCTTTGCTCTTTACTCTGCTAAGATGTAATTTCGCTGGCTTGCTTTCTATCTTAACAATATATAAAAATGTAAATCTTGTGTGGAAAGGTACAACTAGAGTGCTAAGTGATTGTGGCCACAAATATCAATTGGAAATAAAAATGGAATTAAAACTGCCTCGACTGCCAAGTTCTTTAGATATTACCAAGTTAGCATTACTAGCATACTACGCAATCAAAATTCTTCTTCAATTATGGATCTAAGCACGCATCGACACTGCTCCGGCTTTTCCTTTCCTTGTGCTTTTAATATTACATATATATATATTGTTTCACAAGAAAATAGTAAAGTTAAATTAAATTTATGTAATTCTTTTGAGCCATTGCTGCAAGGAATGAAATTTGAATTTAACAAATTTCCTCTATTCGTATAAAGTAAGTATAAAATTTAATTACGAAATTTTAATTTCAAAGAAATAAAAATAATTATTATTCTTGCTAACTAATTTACAATATCATTTAAATTCTAAAAGCATATGTAAATTAATTGCATTTACCTAAAACCATGCAAAAATATATTATTCCAAAAAATTAAATTTATTATTACTAAAAATTGCATAAGTTAATAATTGTTGAGCAGGCAGGAGACAGACTTATCAAGAGGAAGTTGCCCCCAAATCTAACTCTTCAATTATTCCATTCGTGTTTCATCATCCGTATAGGCAAAGGTAAAATTAAAATTAAAAACCAAAAAGTAAAATCAAATGTTGTAAATTATTTAAAAAAAATAAAAAAAAAAAAAAAAAAAAAAAATTAAACAGTGGAATTTTGAGAAAATAGCAAGTAAATGACTAGAGTTAAAATTAATTAAAAGTAGAAAACCAAAGTAATTTAGAAACTCTTGCCTAATATATGTGTGTAATATTTTGGCAGTCGGGCACATGAGTGAAGTTTTTCAATCCAAGGACGACACAGAAGTTAATTGCTTTGATTCCACATCTTTATTCAAGTCACAGGCATATTACCATTGTTTACTAAATAAATTAATTTCAATGCGTTATAGTATTCTAAGAAAGAAAAGGCACAAGGGCAGGGTAGCGATTAAATTTCAACTTGACAGGAAATTTGATTGGTCAGTCACGTGCGACGTCAAAAGCGGGTTGTTTTAGATTTACCTCACAGGATTACCTGCCATTTTCGGTTGCTTGTTTTCTGAGCTGTGCAGTGATAATTTTGGCGGGCTAAAAGTGTTTTTTGATAAAATATTTTAATTGGTAATTTAGGTATTGTTTGCTTGTAATTAAACACGTGATTACAAATTATTGTAAAGTATTTATTTTTGAGACAAACTTTTTGTAATCTATTTATTTTTCATATATTGCCTTTTGAGAACAGATAAATTTAGCGGAAATTTCCTTTGTTGAACAAAGGAATGAAAAATGTTTCAGAATAGCAAATGTTAGTTTCAGTCAAACATTAAATATTTTAATATCATATGCTACCATTTTTTTTGTGTCAAACATTAAATATTTTAATATATGCTACAGTTTTTATTCATTTTTTAATATTTCTGATGACAAAATAAGTTTTTTATTTTCTATTGTAGTACATAACTTTTTGTTATAACAATGGAATATGAAAAGATAGCAGTATTTGAATGTATGTACTGCTGCAAAAAGTACAAAAAGAAAAAGGTTTTATATGAACACATTCGGGAAGTACATAAAGTACCTGTTGTGGCTGAAGGAAATTTGAAATGTCCTATTAATCCAAGAGATCAACATGGATACACTCTTAACTCCGTTGAAATGACATTTAATACATATGAAGATGAGATATTAGAAATTTGCATTTTCTGCGATAAACGTTTTTAATTTGAATTAGCCCCAAACTGAGTACAAATTACTATTTTTGCAAATTCATTCATCAAGCTTGGGGAATAAAATACATCTATTTTTGTGAGTATAATTGATAACAGAATAATTTCCTTAGCATCTTGCTTTTTTCTGTTAGCCTGATAAAAACCCCCATTATTCTTCAGTAAAAATATTTCAAAGTAATATTTCTCTTCCTCAACTATTTGAAATATGAAGTAAACATTTTCTAAATAATAAAAACATATATAGAGATGTACTGCTACATAATTATTTATACATGTAATTCAGTGCTTCATTAAAAAAAAAAAAAAAAGACTATCCTGTTATTACACAAACGGATCTCTTAATGCATATGTATGATGAAGATATCAAAAATAATGTGGACCTAATAAAAAAATTGTTAAAATCTTTATTAAAGTGGCAACCTTCACTCATAAGTTTAGTATCATAATGATAGACACTTATTTTATTATATGTAAATGAGGCTTAAAATTTATTATATGTTATTTTAAAACTACTTAAATAAAATAAAGAAATTTATTCAGTGTCTTAAAATTTTAATAACCTATACACATTGTATCAGTTATCAAAAAAACAGGCTACAAAGTTTTTGTTCACTTTAGATAGGCTAGATTACAATTATGTTATGGAAAATGTCTGATGACAATTTGTCCCTTAAGAATAAATTTCTTGCATTATTATACAACTTTGGGGAATATGTTTTAAGTCTATTTAGCTGGAACACGAGTACTAGTAACTGTCAAATAGGAAGAAAAATATGCCAATGTACAACTTAAAATTAAACTTTATTTCAGTGTAGATTTTAAATAAAACTATCAGTTTTGAGAGCAATTAGACACAGGTCCCTCTTCTTGAAGAGAAAAAAATTTCTGCTAAAGTGACCAGTATCTATTTACAATCAGTGCCAAAATAAGATTTTGTTGTTAGTTTTAAATTAGTAATTTTGTTTTAAAGATTCACTAGTTCACAATTATAATGGGCTTTTATATTGTATGTAGGCTAATGTTTACCCTTCAAATTTAGATTTCTTACAATGGAAAAGTGAGGAAGAACGAAGGGAAAAAATTTCTTACTTTTTGAGAAGTACAATAACTCTTAAAGAAGGTGGGAAAAAGAGTTACTTCCTTTGTAATCGATCTGGATTTTATAATTCTAAAAGTAAAGGTGTAAGAGCTATAAAATCACAAGGTACCTGCAAAATAGAGGGGCACTGTCCATCTACTATTGAAGTTACCAGTAATGGCATTATTAAGATTTTATATTTCCAAACACACGTGGGACACACAGTAGATCTAGAACATTTGCCATTAACAAAAGATTTGCGAGAAGTGATTGCAGGTAAGTTTCTTTATGAACTTGATTGTGAAATTCAATATAAAACAGACATTATTATACAACATTATCATATAAATGCAATATTTTCAGGTAAGTTAAATGAAGGCATTCCACCACAGAAAATATTAGATTCCACAAGGAATAGTATTAAAGAAGACATTTACAGGGAGCATTTATTGACAAAAAAAGACATACATAACATTTCTAATTCTTACTGTATTGGTAATGATGAACAATATCATCCAACTGATGCTGTCAGTTTAAGGATCTGGATAGAAAAAATGAAATGTTTAGATGATAATCCAGTTCTTTTTGTAAAATTCCAAGGAGAAGCAGCAGATCAGCACTTGGAAATTAGTGACTTCTGCATCATCATAATGACAAATGTTCAAAAGCATATGCTTTTAAAGTTTGGATCCGATAGCATATGCATCGATAGCACACATGGGACTAATGCTTACGATTTTCAATTATCGACAGTTTTAGTCATAGACGAGTTTAATTCAGGATTTCCTGCTGCTTTTTGCCTAAGCAATAGAGTAAATTTAGGTTCAATGCAAAAATTTTTTCAGTGTATTAGGGACAAAGTTGGACTGCTGTCTGTAAACTGCTTTATGAGTGATGATGCACCAGTATATTATACTGCATGGACATCAGTAATGTGTGATGCCAAATTTAGGATTCTATGCACCTGGCACGTTAAAAAGGCATGGCTGCAAGCAGCAAATTCAATTATCCCCTCAAAGCGAAAGGAAGTTTTGAAATTTTTAAATGTAGTATCTGAATGTCATGATATAAAAGAATTTGAAGCACTGATATCTGATTTCCTCAGCAAACTCTTTGCTGATAGAGATACAGACAAGTTTGCTAATTATTTTGCTTCAAATTATGCAAACAGATGTGAGTTGTGGGCTAAATGTTATAGAAAAAGATGTAACATCACAACTAACAATCATCTTGAAGCACTGCATCGAGTTTTAAAATATTCTTATCTTGATGGATTGAAAAACAAGAGGGTTGATAGGTGCATTGCGAAGCTTATTAATATGGTGCAAGATAAATGGTTCCAGAGATTTATCAAAACAACAAAAGGGCCAAACACATCAAAGATCAACCAAACAAATTTACGACACAACAGAGCAATAAATTTTCCAGCTAATAATATCACAGAAATCAATGAGTTTTCTTGGCATGTGATTTCAGAAAGTGACCCTACTCTTGAATATACTGTTACTCAAATACATACACAATGCATTAATTGTAACATTGTTTGTAAATGGTGCAAAATTTGTAACGATGCATTTGTATGCACATGCACAGATGCCATGATAAAAGGAAGCTTTTGTAAACATATAGATGCAATAATTTTAAAGACAAGATTACCTAATGAAGAACAGTCCTCTAAAAGTAAAGAATCAAATACTGATATAAAATCCTTTCTTGATCTATCAGCACAAAAAGTTAAAAAAATCAGAAACCAAGCACCATATTATAGATCAACTGGGTATAATATCAAAGCTTATAACACCAACAACAGTAAGTAATATAACTTTGGGAGATATTGAAAACACACTGAATAGTGATTACAAAATTAAAGAACGAAAAGCCGAAATTGAAAATGGTGAACTATGAACCTACAAATAAAAAAGCAGAGAAACAAAAGAATTTCTTTTCTACGAGAAAGAAAAGAAAAAGTCCATGCAGTACTGAAAATATTGCAACAACTTCATACAAGAAAGCTGCTATAGATGCCATTGGAAATAATGAAACTCTTATAATTCATGATTCTTTTGATCATGTATATTGATATCTCATCATGTAAATATATTGTATATAAAATAATCTCTAAATAGTTTATAAATTAAAATATGATGAATTAAAAACAGTATATAAATTTAAAATGCTCTTAATCTTGTCACTACTTCATCCTTGCTAGTTACACAAGTAATTTATTAATCAGTTTTTGATCTGCATATTCTGTCGCAGTATTTCACTACTAAATTATTAGTGTAAAGTTCTCCAGTTGATGGTACACATACAGTACAGTTAGCAACATCATTTTACAAAACATCGACATATAATGTGTTTATTAGGACGTATCACAACAATATGTGCAAAAGAACTAAAAGTTTCAGCATGAAATATGCAGTTACAGATTCAGTCAAATATAGATAGTAACATAATAACATTATATACAGATAGAGAACATAATACGAATAAGAATAGCACTTGATTATTACAAAGGAAAATCATAATTCAGTATCTGCTGACGCTGACAAATCAGAGTGTGCTGGTATTTCTCTAAATAAATGATTAAAAATGCCACAAAAATATAGTGTGATTTAAAATTCTTACATTCATATAAGTGTAAATCTTAGTGTTTTTGAAAATGCTACTGTATTTTGTTACTGAGCATTTTTGAATCGCTAGTGATTACAATAACAATTTATGAATAGCGAAAATTTAAATTATTCCAAGAGAATTGATTAATAAATTTCATACAGTAAATAAATCATTGGGCTGCAAAAGTATGCAGATATATGACAACCAATAACAGAAATAAAAATAAAATCTTTAAAAATTTTATAAAGTGGCGAAGCATGCAAGAGCTATTTATCTTGTAAACAATACATTTTCAGTAGAATCAGTACTTTAAAAAATTGATATACTTTGGAAACATGCTCTGCAATGTAGTTGTTTTGTGATGAAACTGTTGATAGTGCTGCTTTGATAATGCTTTTGTTGATTTGCTCCACACAGTAAAACTGTAGAATTTATGTATACATAGTTCTTGCTTTTATGTATGGATGCAAATTATACAGCTTTTAATTTTTCATGAAACTTGCATACATATTAAAGCCAAGTGACTTTTCAGAATATTACAACATTATAAATCTCACACCTTGAGGTTATTTACTCTAAGGCCTATACACAGATTTCAAAGGAAAATATTATTGATACAGACACAAGTATATAGTTTCTATTAATTAACACATTGTTATTGATGAAGATCCCTTTAATGATTCTTACATAAAGCTATTTGGATTTTTCCCAAGAGGAAAAACAAAGTTTCCTTTAAGAAAATAAACCACACAATATTCTTAATTTTATTATAAACTTTCATTACATCACATGAATCTGTAAACACTGAACTAATCGTTTTCAATTTAAATCACAAATGTATTCTTCATATTGATTTATTGACAGTATGAATAATGACCAAAACTTAATATTATCTGTATATAATAAGAAATCATTGATACATAGGGTAAAAATAAGCATGAAGTTAGACTATATTAGCATGCTAATGAATCAACTAATAGCAAAAGACTTAAAAAACTTTACCTAATCATTTGTACTATTTGTACAAGATTATTTAATGAACACAAAATGTATAGAAGTTACTCCAACCTTTTTTGAACTGTGGACACATTCTAACATATATTTTCAGATCTTGTACCCTTATGACTAAACATTCAAGATTTCAGGCATGATAGACTTTTAAGTGCTTCTTTGTCATGAAATTACCTTATGATTATTTCATTCAACTACAGTCAAAAGTCTTTAATCCGGACTCGCCAGGACTTCGGTGATTCTGGATTATCGATTTTTCCGGATTATAGATCATCAGTTTAAATCTGGTAAGATGGAATGCAGAAATTATAAAATTAAAAATATGAAACCGTAATTTATAAAATAATGAGCAATTATGATCTAAAGGGTACCAAAATTTACAAAAAAAAGCTTAATATTTATTTGTTTACTTTATTAAACATTTCTTTCAACGCGTGCATGTATAAAGCATACATTATGCATAGCCGGAAATTAGAAAATTGCAACCAGAAAACTATTTGATTTGTATTAGTGATATTTATAATGACGAGGAATTTGATTTAAATCATATCAAAGACGAAGTACATCGAGATGAAATACTACATTTAATAAGGAATTATAAGCCGAATAAAATAAAAACATCTGCCCTGAAGATAACAAGAGTGTTGACAGATCAACTTCCAGTTCATTGCACGCCGTAACGTCCCCCCCCCCAATGTAGAGCAGCGTGAAATTGATAAACAGATTTCGGAACGGTTAGATAAACAAAGGATATGCCTTTATCCATTTTTTGGAGCAATTCCACTTTTTGTTTGATGGACATTGAAACATACTTTCGTTTTGTAGATCCTTTGGGAGCTCCAGCATCGGAAATTCTATTTGACATAATCGAAAGTTCAAGCTTACTTTTATAAAATTGCTCTTACAGCCTGCAAAAAATAATAAGCCGGATCCAATTCGAAGATTAAGGAACAACGCAATCATCAACATTAACTGAAATAGGCAATTAGATAATTTTAGCTTATACCGTCCGTTATACATTAAACGAGCAGCGAAAACGTATTCTGCGCTTGTTCACACGCAAATGCGCAGTCGTAAAGGTCTTACGTGCACGCTTAAACGTCTATGCGCATGTGTCAAAGCGGCGCATGCGCAGAAAGTTTTTAGCTTTGAGGTCCGGATTATAGATCATTCCGGATTATGGTTGTCCGAATTAACGACTTTTGACTGTACTACAAATCAAGGAAAGGAGAATTAATTACCAGTGTTTTATACTTTTAGCCACTTGATAACATTACACAATATGGATTAACTTGAAGCAAATTATACTAATTATAATTAGATAATTGCATATCTCCTCTGAGAATTTAGATTCTTCCGCATTCATTTCATTCCAGAACTTGCTCTAAATGGATTTCAATACATATTTACCACTAATAATCGCAAATGATAATGAATAACAAATTAATTTTTATTCCAACCATGATTTGTGCTGGCTGCATAGGCGTTTTCGTGTTTTTCCTCATTTGTAACGTGTACATGAGCCAGTTTCCCTTAGAAAGTTCTCCAGGAAGGCATCCTTCCCTGTAGGCAGTTAGCTCTCGAGTGCTTTACCATAATCAAATAAAAACCTATTTTTAAACTTTAATTTCAAATTTAGTATTTTGTCCTTATTTATTTCACTAAATAATTGAAGTTCTCTTTAGTACATACACATATCAGGCGCTATTTTATCTTCATTTACAAAATAAAACAGTTGAAGTAGTTTTAGGACTTTTCTCTCATGGGAAAAAAATATCTGCATTTTATCCAATTTCCTTTATGAAAACTGAAGTTTTCGTACCAAACGAAATTCTTACATATAACCTTCCTTATGAACTCTCTTACTTACGATATAAACCATTTCGGATCTTTACTTTGGTAAATGGTCTAAGGCCTTTTACCAGTATATGGCTGTCATAATCCCTAAGGAAGCATATTAGAAAAACAAAAGGGTCAGCTATACACAAGGTTTAAAATTAGAAGTACCAGAGCCCTATAGAAGACCTTCAGGAAAGAGGAACAACAATAAATAAAAGAATAAGATAACTAATAAAATCATTAACAATTAAAAAAATAAATAATTCATTATTAAAAATAAAGTTTCCAAGCTCAAATTTCTACTGAAATTATTGTTCAGTTACATAAAAGAAGTGCCGGAGCCTTCTTATTTAGGGCTCCGGCTAAAATTTTGAATTTTCTCTAAAACTAAGAAGTACCGGACCAAGCCTCTAGTGCACTCCGACGCAATTTAAACCCTGGCTATACGGACATCTTGATATAGCAAGAGAAGAACCCATCTTTGGTCATGACCAAACATGGCGCATGATGAGTTTTGATTGTAAACCACATGAGAGGCAGAGTTTAAATACGTCAGAATGACGTCACCAGAGCCAACCAATCAAAATTTCCTGCCAAGTTGAAATTTAGTCTCACCCGAAGAGCAGCGCCACAGATCTTAGCAGCAGAGGGAGAAAGCGCAAAATGGCGTGAGTTCTCTATTTATAGAAGCTTTTACGTAATAGGCTGGAATGATCTCGAAAGTACTGATCTAGGGGGAGGATCCTGAAATTGCAGAAAGTTAATTAAAGGTTGCGTGTTCGCATAGAGCAAAGCCATCCTCCTTTTTATATTTTACATCTTCTCCCCCTCAAAAACAAAAAGCCACGCGAGCAAAGGATTAGTAGATTAGTGAAGCATGAAGTATGAGAAAAGATATGAAGAAAGACATCCAGGACATAGCTTATAGGCTTTAACTATGCCCTTTTTAAACCATGATCTTTCTCATATAATTAGAAAATTTTTTAATTGTATAATTTTACAATGATTTATAAATAAACATATAATCTATAACTAAATTTAGAACTATAACACAATAATATATAGAATAATAATAATAAATAATAAATAACAATCATAAAAGCCCTCAATTTTTCACAAAATGTTAATTGAACAGTCCTTTTCATCGAATGAAAATACTGTTTTTGAAGTCTCCTGATGCCAGTAAGTCCACAAGATAAAGATAAGCTCACAGATATTATGCACTTGTTTCAATGAACATGGTTCCATAATAAGTTTTGAATAGAAGATATTTAAAAATTATGCGGGGAACATTTTTTCATATAATACTTAGAAGATACACAATTTATGCATAATGTATTACGTGCATTCA